GACATGGGGAAAGAAGGGCTGCGGTTTGCTCTTTTCCCCACAGAACAGAAAGAAGTTTGTCGACTTTAAAAAACAAACAGAAAACCCCCAAAGAAATGTTTCTGGTAGCCGTGGAAAAGGCAGATGAGAACGGGGGGACCCAAGACGTCCGGACCAGCTCACAGGCTGGCCGAGAGGGACAAGCCATTCTTCAAGTGGAGGCCAACACCGATGAAGGGGTTCAGGCAGAACGGCACTGCAGAACTCCAAGGGGGAGAAGAACACTGGCAAAGATGTGGGACTTGTACGTGAGCAGGGTACTGACAGTGTTACCTTTAAACCATAAGGGAGTAAAAGACGAGGAGGTCAGCAGCATCACCCGTCCATGCAGTAAAGGCCATTCAGTAATCCCCCAGAAAGCTCATTCGCCTGTACCAAGTAAAATGGGAACTCTCCTCTCCATCCCCTACACTTTTTACTGTGGAGAACACAGAGCAGCTGTATGCTAGTTACCAGCATCTATCGGGACAAGAAGCCAGCGGGCTTGAGGTGGGAGCAGCTTTCAAAGCAGAAAGTAAGCCGTTGTGCAAAATGCCATGTAAGAAGAGCAGGACCAACCGGGGAGGGCTGATCCCACTGCTCCTGCCAACGCTGGCAACACAGGGAACGACGTCGGGGGCATGGAGAGGCTCTCGGCCAACGCTTGTGTGCCAAGCCCCACTTCCCAATCCAGGCTTTTTCTCCTTCAATAAGCTCAGCCACTCTTGACTAGAAATGAGGCTTCCTGCCTCGATTTTATTATTGTGTAAGTTGGAACAGTGACGGAAGGCAGAAAGATGCGTCCTCCCGCTCCTAATGCAGCTACAGAAGGCAAAGCCATGCGGTTCCTCCTAAGAAGGGAGATGACCCTGTTGTAAATACTGTCTTCAAAGGTTTCTGATAAGCAGCAACTGTCCTGATATCAAATGCTGATCTCGGAAATACTGGTGCACAAAATGCAACGTCCTTGGGAAAGCACCCGCATGCACAAGGAGCCGATAAAGCCCTAGCAGTTCTGCTTCGCCCACGGTGTTAATGGTGCACTAGAAGTGAGAACAAACGATCTGCTTAAATGTGGCTTAAGGATACGGAATCCTTAAAGATTTGTCTATTCTGCTGTAGAAACTGCTAGCAACACGGGCAAGAGCTTCCTGGACTCAAGGATGCAAGAAAGAAGAAGAAAAAAAAAAAAAAAAAAAGTGTTAACTACAGAGCAACCCAGGGCTTTATAAAGAGATTTAATGCAATTCTCAGCCATGCCTGCTCAGAAGGCACAATCACGCTTGATCTCTGTTTGCCGTAGCTACTCCTGCCTCCAGCACAGTTTCAACCATAGCGTGGATGGTATGGAACTGGCAACTGTTCTTAATTAAACCTCTGCCGCTGCTTACAGCAGTCCACAACCAGGCAAAAGTCCCACTGGAGGCAACAGGCGTTTTGGGCAGACTATGGATGATGTTTTCCTGTGGAAGATCTCAACCCAAAACTAAACGTAGCCAGCCAGCACAGTGAAGGTGGGACTGCTCAGCCCCACCTTACCTCCTCCTCTGAACGGGTGTCACTTCCAGAGAGTACCTGGTCAGATGCTAGCAGGGACCATCCTCCATCCTGCCCCAAGGAAACGTCCGCTGGCGACAGCAGGCATTTTGGCTGCCTTAAGGACTGCGGAGTATTTGTTTTTAAAAAGAGAGGAAGACAGAAAAGATACCATTAATAGCAGTACTACACAGAAAACCGCGCAAGGACCAGAATATTCAGTCAGCAATGAAATACATCCTAAGCAACCTCCCAGGCAGGCTGGCAGGTACCGGCAGAGCCAAACAACATCCCTCCTCCCGTGACTCCGCGGGAGTTTGCCACTGACTTCAGTGAGAGCTGACCTAACCACCGGAAAGGATGAACAAGAGGGTCACTTAGGATGAGGGGTTGTTCTTTGGTGCACGTCTCACCGTAGTCTGTAAGACACAAGTTATACATACTGATCTCCTGGAGTATACCATTATCCTGTACAAGACTAGATTTAGGTTTTTTCTCCCAAAGAAAAAAAGATGTCAAAACTACTTGCACTTTGGAAGATACCACACCCACATTTATCCCTTTTCTAATCCATCGACTCCCACACTAAAACGTGGTCAGTTCAGGAACAAACTAACAAAGAAAATTAACCCATGCAGCAAATCTACATAATTTCTGTTGGTCATCCTGTCCCAGGTTCCACTCTATCAGGCCAGATAAAGATATTGCCAGTTGCCAGCACAAAGTATCTGCCTCTGCAAAACAAAACTGAACCCAAGAAACCTGGAGGCTTGGGACTGGCAGAAGGAATCCTGAAAGGGGGAGTGCCATGCACAGAGATCTGCAAAATCAGTTATTGCATCAGCAAAACCAAGCCAAAAGAAAAAACAACCCCCCCAAAAAACATCCAAACAGAACATTGTCAACCATTAAAATAATAAACAACATTATTTTTTTGACATAGCTATAAAAATCAAGTCATTTATAAGACTGCAACAAATGAAGTCCAGTTGTGTATTCTTTTTCCTTTTATTAGACAGGACAGAGAATTTCCTTAAAATGCCATAACAAGTCACAGTGATTTTAGATGTTTTTTTGAAATGTAATATATTGATGGGAAATACCTTTAACATGGTTTAACTTTTTTTTTTTTGTCACTGTATATGTACCCTGGTCCACCAAACCATCTATCTTAAAGTTTCTTGTTTAGAGAGGACACTCTGTCTTCTTCCTCCAAAAATGAATTTTGTCTTATAATCCTGCAAAATAATCAACCTTACAAAAGGCCTTCTTCAAATGTTATATTTATATATATATGTATATACATATATATACACACACATACACACATATATATAAATATAGATTTCTATGATTTTTTTTCCCATTCTACGCAATGTCTCAATGAAGAGATCAGCAATTTTTATTCTACAAAGAAGCAACACATAAAAGGGGAAAATTAAAGTCTTAAGAACATCATATCCATATTTCACTGATTACACATAAAAGGAAAAAAAATCACCATGAACAACTGTCTTTGAAGTTTTCTCAGATTAGCAGAATTCAAGTGCAGAGAGGCCCCGTCTCTCGCTGCCAGCGGCAGGGTGGGTTAAAAAAAATTACTGGGCGGCTGAGGACAGCCCAGCCCCGCATCCCGCCAGTCGGCATTTTCTGCACTTCCCTCCCGTGGAGTCGGACGTGGTTGGAATGTATGGAGTTTAGGAAACGTTCCCAACAAAGACCTCGCCGTCGGACGATCCCCTCTAGGCCAGCTTCAGTGTGCTCACTGGGAATGATGGCATGGTTACCATAGTCACCGGATTTAGGACCGTTTGCCCAACTAACTGCGGGTGATGGACAACTTGGGTTCCTACAGCAGGCTTGGCCATCACCGCCGGCTGGCCAAGGTTTGTGGTTCCGTTCACTTGCTGGTGCGAGATCGTGTGAGCGATGTGGCTCACCACGGGCTGGCTGACAGCCACGGGCTGAGGGTAGATGGGCAGCTGCTGGCCGAGGTGGGCCATGTGGTTGATGGTGGCTGGGTGCACAGTGATGTGGCCGATAGGCTGAGCAGCAGTGGTAAGTTGCACAGGGCTGGACGTGGAAGGTGCAATGTGAGCAATGTGCTTGGTCTGTGGACCCTGAATCACGTGGTTGACAGTCTGAATGACCGAAGCGTGGGTAGTGGCGGTGTGGGCAATAACAGTCGATTGCACTGTCGAAGCCGCCACGATGTGAGTCTGTGCAGGGACGATCGCCTGCGGCTGGACCAGTGCTTGTGTCTGGATGGGAGGCTGCGTGTGGGCTGGGGTTTGCTTCTGCTGGATGGACAGGTGCTGAGGCAGAACTGCCGGGTGGTGAGAAGCAGCGTTTGAAGGGACGGCTTTCAGGAGCTCTGGGTGCTGGCGCTGGGTTAGTTTTGGTAATGAGTTCACTGGCCTGTCATCTTCCATGTCTTCATCCATGTTGTCTTCACCCTCTGGAAAAAATGAAAGGAAGAAACTCCCATAAAAAAGAAAGCAGAGCACGAACTGGACTAACCAGCCTCCCTAAAAGGCAGCGCAGGCGGAAGAGACAACAGCAGGAGGAGTCACTGAGCTATGGGCAGGCAGCACGGCACAGCACGGCACGGCACAGCCCGCTCCACCGCGCCCCAGTGGGGCAGCACACCCCTCTCCTCCCTGCCTGGGGGCCAAGGACCCGGAACCAGGCCGGCATGACTAGCTCGAAGCCCCAGCTAAAGAGGGGTGCTCACAACAGGCTGAGAGCTTGCTCGGGGCTGAGAGATCTCGCTCAGCGCGCAAGGGAAGCGACGTGAGCAGAGGCAGACGGAGAGCACCTGCGCTGAACTCCATCTGGACTGAAGAGGGCTCCTTCTGGGAAGAGGATCGGGGCTTCCTTTCCTGTCCAGTTGTTCCACCGATCGGTACCACCCCTTCTGCTCCCAGAGCAGGAAGGAAACAGCCATGGAGAAACATGGCAGCAAGCTCCTCATCTGGTTCTGGAAAATGGACTCTCGTCCAGTCCAGGAACTAACGAAGCAATGCAGGAACATGCTGACCCTGCGGAGATCAGGAAGACGAGCCATGCAGTGGAGATTAAAAATCTCAGAAGATACAGAAGCAGGAGGAAAACCAGGGAAGACACTTCCCTTTTGCAAGCTCTGTGGTTAGTAGTGCTTGAAGCGATCATTTTCAGCAGAAGCCAGCTGGAGAGGTGAACGGCTGACGCTCCTATTGACAAAGCACTCCTACTCTCAACTTCCACCAGCCTACACTTGGAGTCTGCGAGTATGTTCAAAGGTGATGAGCCCAATACAAGCCTGAGTAAAACCAGAAAACTCAGGTTTTCCCTTCCTGGAACCCGCTGTATCATCTGCCTGGGGTGCCAAGAGCAAACGTTGTCAGAATTTGAAGGAACTGCTGCAAATAGTTACGTACTGCTACAGCCTCCTCATCTCTGGGAAGGAAAGCACTGTACGTCCACGGACTGCCTATTCTTCCTGCTGCAGATCACTGGTATGAAGAAAAGCATGCACTCTCCTATCTCACCAAAACTTCTTACTGGGAGCAGCACGTCAGATAGTCGTTAGTATTTCATCTCCACTGCGAATCCTTTTCACGCAACGTGAAAGCTCATTAAGTTGTTCAAATGCTCTGGCGATCCTTCCTGCACCAATTCCTTCTTCTCTACGTGGCTGAACACCCTCCCACATCCGCGCACAAATACATCAGGATGCTCACGCACCACTCAGTTCTAACGCGCAGGGATGCATAGCTGTGCAAGAGGAAAACTCAGTAGTTTTGAAAGCAGGGATCTCCACGTGAGGTATCAGCAGATTGACTGTGCAAATCTGCACTTTGTGTCTACCTAAAGTTGATGCACGATTTTCAGTTTACTTTACACAAGCGGTAGTGTATGATTAGGCCAACGTCAATGATTACAAACCACTTGGAAACATTTTACATTATTCTGAACTCAACGAAACCTTGATGGTGCTAAATGAAGATCACCACCATGATGATATAAGTGTGTCAGTGACATACAGTGATTATTACAAGAAGAGAATAAGTACGGGTACCTGATGCTGTCGAGGTAGATGCCTGGTCATCCTCTGGCTGAACTGTCTGTCGAATAATTCTGTCAATCTCCAAGATGTCCATCCACTGGCTCAGCTCGTTCTTCAATTCGGCCAGTCGCTGCTGGGTAGCAATCTTCTCTCTTGCCAGCCGCTCCATCTCATGTTCATATTCTTTTTCCTTTCGCTTCAAAGTCTAAAGACAGAGGGAAGACAAAGAAATATAAGGAGAACAAAGACAAGTATAATCTACACTAACCTGGTCACTCCCATGTCCACAGCTCAGGTTTTTTTATTTTATTACCAGTTATGCTGGTGTAAAACGTGTTCAGATATAGTTATGCCCCTCAAATTCGGGCAGAAAGGGAAAGGACAAGAGCTGGCCACAAAAATCTAAAGGGTTACTTTGGCCAACCGCTTTCTGAAGGAAAACTGATGAACTTCCAAAACTGAAATGCTTAACCAGATCAGGTGTGAGTCCCTTGCGCTCCAGGGGTAAATTTAAAGCCTAGAATTCCTCAGGAAAAGCTGTAAGACTTTCTCTCTGAAAAAAAGAAAAAAAGTATTTCTGCCATTCTAAAGACAGAAAATGAAATCTTCTTCCTGCTTTCTTCCCTTTTGCTCTAACCTCCCCAACAAAACTAAAAAAATAAGAACCAAGAGTGCTGAACTATGACTAGGACTCATATCTGTAATGTGGAAGCCAGACCCTTCCCAGTACAGCACTTCCACCCTGCTCACTTTCTAAGCTAAACACAGGACATCGACGGTACGTGTGTGCAAACACTGGCCAGAAAGAACCTCTGTAAGGACACCAACAAATGACCCAGGGATGCAGAGCACTTGTGGACCACGAAGCAGACTGTCTGAGGTCCCAGACAGGTATTTGTTGGAGGAGCAGCAACATAAACTGGGACTCTCTGTTCACTCCTCTCTTCTGTTTCAGCCCAAGGGAGCTCCTTGTTGGACTTCAACATCAGTTTAGAGCGACAGGGTCAGTACTCGGTTCCCAACATCGGCCTCACCTCACCTGCCTTGTGAAATATTTGAAGAGGATTAAGGCTTATCGCGGACCGGTGGGAAGGTGCAAAGGGGAGAGGAACGGGTGCAGTCCCCTCTGATCGCCAGGCGAGAGGACGAGACCACCGTCAGCCACTCGGAGAGTGGGGCTATGGAGTTTTTATTACATACACCCGTTTCCAAGCATCCCTAAGGCAAGGAAGCATCTACACAGAGAGCAGTGCTCCTGCACAGCAACGGACTGCTGGCCCACAGCTTGAGAAAGGTGGAAGAAACACCACATCCTGGCACAAAGATAGAAACCATGTGCAAAAAACTCTGCTCTCACGCAGGAAGATAAAACCACAGGAGTATTGAAGTATTTCAAAGACAAGGTGCATAGGAAGAGAGAGAATCTTTTACTAAACCAACTGACAGTAGCTGGGGAAAAAAGACAAGCTTCGGGCACACAAGCCCAAGTAGGTCTACACAAAATCACGGCACATTCCTGGAACGAGCACATAAAATCATGGAGAGAGGGGGAACTTTTACATGGCCAGAAGAAAAGAAAAAGCACAAGTACTAATTAGCTTCTGAGCAACACTCACCACGCCAAGAGCTCCTGACCTACCAGAGATGGCTAAGAGCTGACAACACCCTGCATCACGGGGGAAATCCTGAAGTCAAATGCGAAGGAACAGTATATGTCCTCCTCTTCTGCTAATGCCCACCCAGCGCTGGAAATCTGGTATGTTCATCGGCAGGGAAGGGAGGAGATGCTGCATCAGTCAGCACAGTACACAAAAATGCCAAACGCTACCCAATACTATTCCTGGGAAATATAAACCTCATAGATCTGATGGGGCTCAATTACTGAGCAGTGCAGCAGCAGAACAATAGCCAGTAGTGTAGCACTGAGTAGTAACAGGATAGAGAACCTGTTCCACCCCGCCCAAGTCAGCACTTACTATAAGCATGTAAGAGACAAAACAAGTGAAATCTGCAGAACCATGTACAGCCTGTCTATTTTCTGGAGTTGGGTTTCACCATTGGGAATGTGAATCACATACACACTTCTGAAAATACCAGGTATACAGACCTCCACAGAGCCTGCACAAATGCTCTTTTTCACTCACTGCTGGCAGGCATCGAATTTAAAAACAAACTTTATACTTAGCAAAGCGGCAGAGGATCAGACTCATGATCTTCTGAATATGTGCTCTTTATTCCCCTCTCAAGTGCTCCAGGACAACTGCAATCAGAACCTGACCTCAAGCTCATGCGTTTCAACAGTTCTGCTGGTCTTTTATCTCAAAAGTTAGCCACGAATAACTTTAAAGCCTGTTCAGCCCGGCCTTTAATTCAGCCTAGGGCAACAGGACGACTAGAATAACTCCTGCCTTCTTACAGAAAAGTAAAATGAAAAAGAAAAAGTACCTTTGTCCTGATAATAACAAAAAAGGAAGTATTTTTAAAATGGCCAAGCAAGGCATTTTAGCAGGGCACAATCATTCTGGATGTATAAATGGAGACAACTCCTCTCAACAGGGTTTCTGCTTTGCCTCCTGGCACAGCTGGCTTTAGCTCAGCTAAAAGCCTCTCGAAACAGACAGTTTTCAGGCAAAGGGGGCAGTTCTGCCCCTCTCGCTACTTTTTAAACCGTAAGCAGGCAGCAGATATGCCAAGTCCTCAATACCAAGGTTTTATACTGGGAAAGCCCGGCAGACCTGTAGCCTACAGCAGTGAGAGGAGTTCCTGGGACAGCAGGGTGTCTCAGCAGGGAAGGTCTTTCGGTGCAGGAGATGCACGTAAGCAGGCACGGGGACTCCCGGGACGCCCAGCTCTGCACCAGCGCTGACTTCTAGCCTGGAGACGGTGTTTAGATCCGTATGTGGCTGAAGCCAAAAGCCGTATGCTAGTTAGTGTCTGTTATCCTACTGAGGGAGGCCGAAGCGTTTTGCCTGACCCCGAAAACGCAGTAATGCTCCATGTGTGCTTTGATCTCCTTGCAGCCGAAGGGACGTGGGTGGGAGAGGGCAAAGCTGAGGCAACGAGGAAGGTGCACGCTCCTGTGCTCAGGTTTATATATGCAAGAAAAGAACTCGTCTGAATGTCCTCCTCTTTACTGTCTCATCAGGAAAGGAGCAAGTAGGAGAAAGCCTGAGACTAAAATCACTGCATACAGACAGGAGCCCGGCCCCTCTCTGCAGCATTTCTCTCCAAGCACGTTCTCCATGTGGTTACTCACAGGGCACGAGAACGGAAGGACAGAATACAGTAACACAGCTTTCCAGGAAGCGTAAGAAAGAAATCCACACAGCCTCAGCACCCATATCGTGTGCAGCACGAGCATATTCAAGCAGATATGGCTTCCTTCCCTGCTGCGAGAGAAGACTGCCAGCACCAGGGGAAAGCACGACTATGAGGTATGGGAGGGCAGCTGGTAATTAGTTACAAATGTTTAATTACCGAAAAGGCAGGCAAACCCTTAGCAAGCACCAGGACGAGTCTCCCAGCGAGTGGGGTCAGGGAGCTTGCTCTCCAGGTGCTCCACTCCTCCAACACAGGCTTCAGGACGTGGCACTGCTCCCATCCCAGCGCCGCTCCAAGCCCGGCCCCCCCGGCTCTGCCTCCCTCTGCGCTGCCGG